TACGGGGGGCCGGTGCATGGCTCCCCCTGTGCCGTACGACACCGAACGGGTTGACCTCGTACGCTGGCGCATACATGACGCGCTTAAACTGCAACAAGGACAAAAACCAGCACCAGGCATTACTTTTTGTTGCGGGGGAAATGGTCGCTCTTCTTTTTTACCAGCAGAGCAGAGCAGCATAATAGTAACAATATTATTAAGTACATCCACAAAATATTCGGATTTATGGTAGTGTGTGGGCGGGTGTGCATTTTTTTATTATTTATCAATCATGTTAAAATAGTACTTCGGGCTTCAATAAAACAACACAACATCCCCCACATCATGCAAGGCGGCGGCAGCAGAGGCACAGCATATAGCGGTGGTGAGAACAGTGGCGGCGGCGACAAAGCAGCGGCGGAGGCAGAGGCAGCAGCGGCGGTGGCGGTAACGACGGTGGCGACAGTGGCGGCTGTGACGGCAGCGGCGGCGGCAGAGGCAGCAGCGACAGCGGTGCCGACAGAGGGGTAACGACAGCGGCAGCAGCTACTACAAGAGGTGGTGGTGTCAGTGGCCGTGGCGACAAAGCAGGGGCGGAGGCAGAGGCAGCAGCGACAGCGGTGGCGACAGCGGCAGCGGCTACAGAGGTGGTGGTGATAGTGGCTTTGCGGCGACGGTGGCTGCAGCGACAGCAGCTGCGGCAGGAGAGGCAGCAGCGGCGGTGGCGACGGTGGCGACGGTGGCGGCGGCGGTGGAAGCAGCGGTGGTGGCGACAGCGACAGCGGCAGCGGCAGCGGCAGCGGCGGTGGTGACGGCGGCGGCGACAGCGGCGGCGGTGGCGGCGGTGACGACGGTGGCGACAGTGGCGGCGGCGACAAAGCAGCGGCGGCAGCAGAGGCAGCAGCGACAGCGGTGCCGACAGCGGCAGCAGCTACAGAGGTGGTGGTGTCAGTGGCGGCGGCGACAAAGCAGCGGCGGAGGCAGAGGCAGCAGCGACAGTGGTGGCGACGGTGGCGACAGCGGCAGCGGCTACAGAGGTGGTGGTGATAGTGGCTTTGCGGCGACGGTGGCTGCAGCGACAGCAGCTGCGGCAGGAGAGGCAGCAGCGGCGGTGGTGACGGTGGCGACGGTGGCGGCGGCGGTGGAAGCAGCGGGTAGTGGCGACAGCGACAGCGGCAGCGGCGGTGGTGACGGCGGCGGCGACAGCGGCGGCGGTGGCGGCGGTGGCGGCGGTAACGACGGTGGCGACAGTGGCGGCGGCGACAAAGCAGCGGCGGCGGCAGAGGCAGCAGCGACAGCGGTGCCGACAGAGGGGTGGCAACAGCGGCAGCAGCTACAGAGGTGGTGGTGTCAGTGGCAGCGGCGACAGTGGCTGCAGCGACAGCAGCTGCGGCAGCAGCGGCGGCGGCGGTGGCGGCGGTGGCGACGGTGGCGGCGGCGGTGGAAGCAGCGGTGGCGACAGCGGTGGTGACAGTGGCGGTGGCAGCGGTGGCGGCAGCGACAGCGGCCGCGGCGGCGGCAACAGCACGACAGTGGCGACACATAGCGACACGGCAGCCCCTTTTCTCCTACTATATTATACCCATATGCATGCCTGATCCCTCTCCCTCTCTCCTCCTCCTCTCACCTCGAGGGCGCGCTTCACCTCCAGCTCTGCCGCCTCTCCCATGGTGCTCAACTCGATGGTCTCCAGCTGCTTGCAGGACAGCATGGA